GTTGTGTGAGGTCAGAAAGCCCTCCATTTCCTGTAGATTTTCTAGTTTATTTGCATACAGGTGTTCATAGTAATCTTTGATTATCTTTCGAATTTCTTCCAGGTCAGTTGTAACTTCACCTTTTTCATCTCTAATTGTGTTTATTTGAACTTTCTCTTTTTTTAGTCAATCTGACCAGCAGTTCCATCAATCTAATTTATCCTTTAAAAGAACCAGCTTTTTGCCTTGCTGATCCTTTCTATGATATTTTTTTCTTCTATATCCTGCAATTGTGATTTTATCTTAGTGATCTGGATTTTTTCTACTGAAATTAGGATTTAGATGATCTTACTCTTTCAGTTCCCTTAGGTGTGACATTAGGTTGTTTACTTGTGATCTTTCTATTTTATTGATGTGTGTGTGCAATGCTATGAATTTTTCTTTTTACACTGTTTTCATGCCTCCCAGAGAGTCTGATAAGATGTATTTTTGTTTTTTGTTTCCAGGAATCTTTTTATCTCTGTATTGAATTCTGTGTTGTTCCAGAAGTCATTCAGCAGCATGTAGTGCAGTGTCCATGTCTTTGTATGTTTTGGGGATTTTGTTGGTGATGATATTTATCTGTATTCCACTGTGATCTGAGAAGATGCATGATATTATTCTGATGTTTTGAAATTTGTTTGCCCTTCATTTTTGTCCGAGAATGTGATCAATCCTGGGGTGTGTTCCATGTGCTAATAAGTAGAATGTATACTCTGTAGATGTTGGGTGGAGTGTTCTGTAGAGATCTATCAAATATATTTGATTAAGCGTCAAGTTAAGGTTCCAGATCTTGTCGGTGTTTTGCCTCAATGATCTGCCTAAGGCTGTTAGTGGGGAATTTGGGTCTCCAGCTATGATTGTGTGAGTGTCAATGTCCTCTCCTAGTTTGCTTAGTAGCTGTTTTATAAAACCTGTTGCTTTGTATTGGGTGCATATATGCTTAAGATGGCTATTTCTTTCTGGCAGATTAAATCTTTTATCATTATGCCATGTCCTTTTTAATGTTTGGTGGTTTAAAGTCTGCTTTGTCAGATATCAGAACAGCTACGCCTGCCCTCTTCTGTTTTCCGTTTGCCTGAAAAGTCATTTTCCAGACTTTAACTTTGAACCTGTTGTCCTTTGCAGTGAGATGAATTTCTTGGAGGCAGCCAAGAGTTCCGTCATGTTTCTTTATCCACTTTGCCACTCTGTGTCTCTCCAGTGGTACATTCAGTCCATTCACATTCAAATTAATTATTGAAATGTGAGTTTATCTCTGTCATAGAGTTCTTAGAGGGTTGCTATGATTCCTTTTTACTTTTACATTTATATTTGTGAGTATTTTCATTTTTATGAGTGCTCTGTATGCTCTGTTAACTCTGTGCTTGCCCGTACTTTTGTGATGGTATGACTGTTCTTTCTTTTTCTTTTCCTTAAGCATCTCCTGAAAAGCTGACCTGAAGGCATCATATTCTCTTAGAGATCAGATGTCTGGAAAGAATTTTAACTCTCTGTCACTGGTGAAGCTTAGCTTGGCAGGGCAGGAAATATTTGGTTGGACTTGCTTATCTTTAAGAACATTAAAAATTGGACTCTTGTCCTTTTTGACTTGTACTGTTTCTGCAGATAAGTCTGTAGCAATTTTAATGAGTCTTCCCCAGTAAGAGGTCTGATCTTTCTCTCTTGCTGCCTGTAGGATTTTTTTCTTCCGTGCTTATTTTGTGGAGGCAAAATACTATCTGTTTTTGGGATGGTCTTCTCATGTGAAACAGTGCAGATGTTCTCATAATCTCTTGTGCTTGAATAGTCACATCTGGAGCAAGATGTGGGAAGTTTTCTTAAATGAACTCATGAAATGCTCATTCCATGTTTTTGCTTCAAGGATATCAATCAGGTGAAGATTTGGCTTCTTGACACAGTCCCATATCTCTTGGAGGCTTTGCTCCTTCTTTTTGAGCTTTTTTTTCCTGTGTTTGACAGACTGAGTTAGTTCCATATTTTGGTCTTCAAGCTCTAAGACTCTTTCCTCTGCCTGATTGATCCTTCTCCATATGCTTGTTACTGTGTTTTTAATTTTCAGGATGAAGTTTTTTATTTCCATTTTTTTTGGAATGAGCTTTTCTGAAATTGACCAACACCACTTTTACTTCTTGTATGACTTTGCTGAGTCTCACTTCTACTTTCACTTGGTTTTCTTTGCTCATTTTAGCCATCCAATGTCTGATTTCTGTGACTGTCATCTGGGGCAGGTCGTTCTGGGAGATTTCCATTGTTTGTGCTCTGATAGCTGCTTTTTTGTGTGCTGTCTCTTTAGGACTCTGAGAATTGCTTATATTTTTTCATTTTTTTTTTTCTCATTTGTGGCATGCCTCTCTTTCTATAATTCCTCTTTGGTTTTTTTGTTCTAATGCTAGTCAATGACCATCTCTTCTAGGGCCTTCTATCATTCAATGTAGGTCACTCAGTTAGAGGTAGAAGGGCATTCACGTCTGTTCCTTGCTCTACCCTGTGGCAGACTCTTACCTGAGATTGTCTCTTCTGCTGTTAAACTAGTTAAGCTGGTTTTCAGCCCCTGTTGCAAGCATTCTGAGGAGAGCAGGTGAGGGGATGGGCCTCTGCCAACAGTTTGCAGCTCAGAAGTCATCCCATTGGGAAAACCTTCAGATGTCTTTTGTGCTGCTCCCTCCCTGATAAAGTTTACACTCAGTTTTGAAAAAAGAGCAAGCTCATTGCCACAGGGTGGGGGAGGAGATTTGTCCTATCATTGGGAAGTAATCCTTCCTGATCTGGTGCTGCTGGCCATGGACACCTGCTGAGTTCAATCTGTAGGTGAGTTTTCCTGGCCTGGGTTCAACCACCGGACTACTCTGGTAAAGGTGCACTCTCAGTGGCTGTGCCAGTGCAGGTTTTGTTTCCCCTTCTACTTGGCTCAGTTGCCCTCCCCTGTGTCCTGACCAGGACTCCTCCCACTGGGGCCAATGACTCTGTGAGCAGCAGGGAGTGGGCTGGGTGGGGGGAGGTGGAGCAGACTCAAAGTGTCTCAGAATCACTTGCCCCTGCTTGTTCACTGGGTAGGGCTTCAGTTCTTGTGTGAGCCCTGGCACATGCCAGGGAATGGAGTGCCTGGGGCCTGGGTTCCAGCATCTGCCATTGCTTTCTGGTCTCTATGTCTTCAAAGAGACCTTTTCTGAGTGCAGGATCCTTCACCCATCCTAAACTGTTAAAAGCGTCTCTTTCTATTGGCAGCTGGGTTCCTACTCTCTGTCTCATTTGGTGAAAGACAGTGGTCTGCTGCTCCAAGATAGCAATCTATGTTAAAATCTTTTTAAAGGATTCTCCTTTGTTTATAAGATTTCAAGTTTTTTTTGGCTTTAGCAGGTCATAAAAGACCTTCCATCATCCCTTCCTCCAAAAACTTTCCTTATTTGCATGCTGGGAGTGGGTGTTGCAGGCCTGTAAGAAAGGTCCCTACTCAAACTCAAGGGTGTGTCCAGGAAAAACAGAAACCAAAGGCACATCTGTGTCTGTTTTTCCAAAGGAGTTTTAGGAGGTTTAGTATTTATATGTCTCTTAAAGGTGAGGAAAGGCATGTAGGAAGAGGGGCAGGTAGGCAGTAAGACCAATGGTTACATTCCTGTGACACTTTACTTAGTGCCCAGTAAATCTACATTTTTCAGAAGATAAGGTGAATGTTTGAAGAGAAAATGGAAGGAAAGGAAGAGATAGTCACTCAGACATCTCTGGGTAGGTGGAGCAATGCATCCTGCCTTTGTTCTGTACCTGGAAACTGAGCTTATAATTGATATGATCAGTGTAGAGATGAACAGACATGAGTTTTAAGCACCAGACTTAGAGTGTAGACTTAAAGTCACAGCTGGCATGCCATGTTTGCGAAAGGTCAGCTAAGAATTGACTTATGAATGATCTTGGGTAGCCCTATATAGGTGCCTGGAGTCCTTTACCTTTCCCTAGGGATCTGGCTGGGTACATCATTAGGAACAGCTATTCACTGTGAGAAGGTGTACATGACACGCTCTCAGGACTTAAGTTGGGAGGTCCTGAGATTTTATATTTTCCTTTCCATCTTCCACTAAGACTCTTGCCCAAGATGTCTTGATAGTGACAGCCTCACACACTCTCGGGAAGGGTAAGCTTGCCAGGCTCCAGGGCTCTAATTCTAAGCTCCTGTGTGAACCAGTAGTCGTCCACTTCCTGGTGATGCCATGTCTGCTCTCTGTGGGAGAACCAGCTCATCTTTCTTATCCCTGGACTTCCATGAAGGCACCTGCCTCTCCCCCTCATAGGTCCAACCCTACTGTCCTTTAGGGTCACAATATGACCAATGGGGCATGGGTAACCTTTTATTCAAAAATAAAAATAATCCAGAGAAATGCATGGTTCCAAGAGAAATCAAAAGTTGGTTTCTGTGTCCTCTGTCAGTATTTCTGTTGAGGACACCACCACCCAGCCAATGCCTACAGAGCTGGCACTTGAGATCTGAGGGGTCAGGCTGATGGTGGCCTTCTCACACCCACCCAGGATATCTCAGAGAAGAGGACACCACTTCATCCAGGCCATTTCCATTCAACATGAGATCTAGACTGGCCAAGTCAATGCAGACCCCTGAAAGAGGACAGGAGGCAGGGATGGTGTGGGGTGGGCTGAGGCTCCTTCCACCTGCTCACACCATCCCCAGTTGTGTGGATTCCTCAGAACTGGCTGACAGACTCATAGACTTCAGTGGCCGCCCAAGGCAACAGGGCAGCAGTGAGTACTACAGGGGCTCCATTGTTCAGCAAAATACCTTGGTTCTTTCCAGCTGATATTGCCAGGGTCTTAAGTAATAGCTCAGCAGAATCCTGTGGAGGGAATTAGAAAGAGGATGGACCGGGTGCCCTGCTGACATGAGAGCTCCCTCCCTCCATTCCATGTCTCTCCTCATGATACGTCACCCCTCACACAGCATGCATTATCACCTACCATGCAGCTTGGTCTTGGCTTCACAGGGCTTTGACTGGCCTTGGAAAGACCCAGTAGAGCATGGCAACCACCATAAAGGTGGGCGTGTAGCTCATGGGAAGGTAGAGAAGCTTGATGTCCCAGCCAGGGAAATAACACATGTGGGGGTGGCAGGCGGTCAGTGCATGCTCCTTGCAGTTTGTCACCAAGGGCAGACCCTGTTTGCACATTTGCTCCATTAATTCAGCTGCTTTCATGTCTGTTCAGAGTGAGAAAACATTCATGTCTACTTCTACCTGCAACTGGTCCTGCTTAGGGGTGGATTAGACTGGAAATTTCCCAAGAACTCATGCCCTTCCTGCCATATCAATGCCCCAAATCTAATTAATACCATTTTCCTAAAGGAAGCCCCACCCTGCTTCACACTAAACCTCTGCCTCTCTTCCTGGGCTATCAAATCTGTACAAATTGAAGATCTCTACCCACACTTGAAATCTAAGCATACACAAACCAACTTCCCGTAGTGCTGGCTTCTGGCTTCTCACGATGCCATGAGGATCTTCTCTCTCTTGCCGGCTTCACTTTTCTTCTCAAAGGTGCTCACATAGACACTGGTCCAAAGTTCTAAGAAGCTTGGATCATTTCTTTAGGTGACTGGTTGACCATAAGTGACAATGGAAATGGGACTAAGAGGGTCCCCTTCCTCCCAGCACCAGGAGAACAGACCCTCATAGTGTTGGAGGTCTCATGAGAGACCCAGGTCCAGATGAGGGTTTGCTTCTTTGGAGGGTTTGTCCACAGCTCACTTACAATATGTCAGAAACTTCTTGCCAAAGATCTTCTGGTCCTCAGGACTAGCCGGGTCCCACAACTCCTGAAAGCTCTTTGAAATTCTCTGAGCATTTTTCATGTTGGTCTTGAAATAACTGGGTTCAGTCATAGCGACCTTCACTCCAAAGCTCCCAAAGGGGGAGCTCCCTTCCGCAAGGCAGACAGACAGAGACAGGAATTCAGAAGTCTAGGGAGACAAAACACAACAGACAAACTCAACTCAACCCGGATGGTGGTGGGATAAGCTGGAAAACTTGGTGAGTTAGAAGTGCAGCAGCTAGCAGGTAACATTTCAGAGGATGGCATTGCCTCTGTGTAACATTTCCATATTTTCCATATGTGAACTCAGTAACTCTAAATCCTCCATATTCTCCAGCAAGACTCCACTTCAGTGTCATCTCCTCCTCCCCTCTCATCCAATGGATCAGCAGATCTTGCCTATTTTACCTCCTCCACACTAAGGCCCTTCCCTCCCTCTTCTTTGCCAGGCAATACCCCTAGGCATCTCTGAGCTGGGAAATTGCAGCTGTCCTCTGAGGAGCTCCCTGTGCCATAGTTTTCGTTTCCTAGACTCACTACTCCCTGCAGTCAGTGGGTATCTAGATGTCCATGAAACCAAGTGGCTGCCCTGTGGAAATCCTTTCTGTGGGGTTCCATGCCAACAGCATGAAGGGCTGCACCTGTCCAGGGCCCACAGACTCTCCACAAGCCCTCCTTTGGCCACCTGTCCAACCTTTCCCTCCAGGTCTGCCCTCGATCTTTACCCCAGGAGAACCCCGCAGCACAGGCAGTTGGCTCTTGCTCACCCAGGGCCCGGGCTGATGAGCCCGTTTCACCCTCCTTACCAGGTTGCCATGTTCTTTCCCTTGTCCAGGAGCCCTTTTCACCCTCCTTACCAGGTTGCCATGTTCTGTACTCCTTAGCTCCCATCCATCCCCAAGATCCTCCCCAAGCCTGATAGATGCCATAGTCACCATGAATGACTTGAACACACCCCGATAAACCTTGGCAACAACAAATCTAAATCTCCTGTCCCTCTCTCCATTGTCAAAGTTTTAGGTCAAGACAAAACCCCGCTGTTGTCCTAGGACATATTTCTTGGACACTCAGACAATTGTCTACAAGTGTGTGTGGTATTGAGGTCGATGCTCTGCCCACTCCCTCAAGGGCTGACTGCAACTGAATGTCATGGTGGCTGTGGACATGCGCCAGGGAACCATGTCATTCCAGTTCCAATCTGTTTCAGACATTTTTGGCCTGTAGGCCTCCTCAGTGGGGTCAAAGGAGTTTTACATAAATTTTAAGACCTGAGACTTTCCCCTCTACCAGAATATGGAGAAGTGGTTCCCAATGTGTGGCTGGCTAAATCCAGAAAGGGGGATGGTGACAAAGCATGACAGGGAAGAATCTCCAAGAAGGGACCTCTAAGGCTGTGGTGAAACAAAATCCACAAAGGCTGTCCCAGAAGAACGGAAGCAGGAGTATTATCACAGTCCAATACTTAGGGAGTCTGAGAAGGCCTCCACCCCGAACTTGGAAATGCAGTAGCCTCCACTACAAACTGACATCCAGCCTGCGATGCTAGAGACATTGACCACGCGGCCCCTCGCCTTCCTCACTAAAGGCAGCAGGTTCAGAGTCACATCAAACAACCCCAACAGGTTCACGTCCAGGATGGTCGCAAAGTCCTCATTGGGGCCCAAGTGCATGGCAATGCCAGCGTTATTCACCAGGTCCCAGAGTCCTGGACAGTGGGAAGATGAGAGAGCATCACTGTGTTGTGCCCGTGCAGTGTGGACACATTAGGGTGCAAGTTTACCTTCTAGTGAATGTATTTATTGAGTCAACAAGAATGTGCTACATGGTATAAGGGAAAAGAGTAGGGAAGGGGAAATAAGGATGTGGTGGTTTTGGAGTGTCAAGGTTTGCACATTTTCCAGCTTGTGGGGTTTGCTATGGTCCTTCTCATCTCTGCCCCCAGTGCCTGCACCCAGCATGCAATGCACCCATCTTTGGTAAGTGTATGGACAGAGTTTGAGAAAACATAGTGAGTACCCAAGAAGTATCCCTTGAGGGGAAAGAGACAGAGACAGGAAGAGAGAAATGGAGTAAGAGATAGAAACCAAAAGAGAAGGAGAAAATTTTTTTTAAATGGGGGAAGAAAAAAAGGCAAATAATTGTTTTCTACGCCATAGTTGGGAAAGACATTCTTGAAATCCAAACACTGAGGGAATTTGGAGAACAGGCCTTGTGTTGGATATCAGAGAACAAGCCATGATACAATCTGTCTCATTCCAAAACAACACCTGCTCAGGAAGCAAGGCTCACCTAGTCTAGAATTTCCAGAGCATGGAATGAATACCCAGAGCAGGCAGGGGAGGAGAAAGGAGGCCTTCTGCCATACCAGTATCCACACAGTACCCTCGGCCCCAGGAATTATCACCTTCTCTTTTCACTCTTCCAAAGGCCACAGTTGCCCTGTCCTTATAGATCCCCAGCCCACAGAGCTTTCAGAAAGAATCTATGGAAGATACAGAGGTAAACAGACAAAACAACAAGGATTTGGAACGGTCAGAGTTACCAACCTAGAGACGCCAGGTCAATAGCGTAGGAGTTTTGGTGGATGAGGGATGGGGGGGTGAAGGAGATATAGTTTGACTCTAGAAAAATTAGAAATAAGATAAGGCTTGCAATATCAGTCCTTTCTCTACTTAGAAATTTCTGGCCTTAAAGAAATAGTATTCTTTGAGCCAATTACTTATTTTATTGGAATAAAACTAAGCATGTGAACAAATCTTTGTTTTGTTTTGTTTTGTTCTTTGAGTTGGAGTCTCACTCTGTTGCCCAGACTAGAGTGCAGTGGCCGC